ACAGCTTATTACACTGTTAATGTTCCTATGGTTCAGAAAAAACAGCACTACTGCACATATTAATGCCCTTCCCCAGCATGACATTACAACTGCACAAATAAAAATATTTTTCTCAAAAGCGTTACAGTAGCTCCTAGTATGAGGTGAAGTTCTTCTCATGATCAATTATTTACAAATTTGCAAGCTAATACAAATATTTCTTTAGTGACCATTTTGGATGTTTTTCTGTGTAGGACTCAAAAGATGGAATCACATCAGATTTGGATGACTAATGTAATTAAGCTTCAACAAATATCCTGCAGCTTTTTAAAAAACTTAGTTTTACAACACATGACTTAGAAATTCAGTAAATTATCAAATATTTCTGTTCCGCAAACATCTGAGAGGCTACATTATTTGCTGTAATTCAGAGCAAGGAGTAGTAATAAATCAAAGCCATCAAACTTGGTAAGAAAGCTGAAATTTTTATGAAAGTAAGAATTTAAATCTCATTGGTATCTACGGGAAACGTTATAAAATAATATCTGAAACACAAACTGCATGTTATCTATTATTAGAGCTCCCATAAAAACTGCATGAAAATGAGATCTGATGCTACTTTGTGTTTGTATCATATAGGTTTGTATTTCTTTAAAGGAGTACTTTTTGTGACTCTTCTGAAGGGTCAAATCTGAGCTCACTTGTAGTTCTCTAGTATGCCATAATCTAAAAACAACTGAATTTACAAGATGAATTTTTATAGATTTTTTTTTACTAATAGTCTTAGAAAGAGTTATTTCTTAAATAAGAACCCACATCTGAACTTAAAATATAATTCCTTGTTTAATCTATTGATATGTGCTGCCACACATCTAAAAAAAACCAATTCTTCACAAAATAGAGTAATGCAATGTTAAACGTATTATAAAATATAGGGGGAAAGATTAAATGCTTCAAAAATGGCTTTTTTCCTAGCCCAAACATATTGCATGATACTGCTGATTTATAAGCCAGAACTGCCAACATTATCTGACAGTACTGATATTTGGAAGCTGGCTATATAAAATAAAAAGTAGTTACACAGCTTCTCAGCTGGGCTGGAGTACAAGAGAATCTGCACAAGTTACCTTTTTTGTTAAGGCATAACTAACAGCATATAATTATAATTTATAAGCAATTAGAATACCTTCTCAATGCATCTTCGGAGCGTGTTGATATTCCTGACCCACCAACCTATACCCATAGCTCTTAATTCAGACCACTGTGGGTCTCCCTTCTGGATAGCAGGGATCATGTTGATCAGCTCCTCCTCAGCCTCGGAATGAAAAGCCCATGCAAAATGACAAGTAGATAGGCCTAAACAGTAACATAATAAAATCCAGAAGATTAGTACTCATTAATAAACAAATGGAATACATCAGAGATGCTAAATGGAACACTGTGCAAAGAGTGTTGGTAGAGAGGGATGTTTGTTGACAGGAAGTAGAGCTGTTCAGGGTGAAGTCAAAACATCTCCCAGTATATGTCCTCTCTTCAATGCTTCTATTCTTTTCCAGCACCCCATTCATATACATACTACAGTTTTATATGGTGTAAAACAGCAGGAAAAACATTATCTCAGAGGCAGACTCATTCTGGGCCAGAAAACTTTTTGTACTGTTCAGGTGGTAAGTGCTTTTCTTTCGTGTTGTGTATTTCACAACAACACTTAGATTGAGCAAAGAAAAAAAACCACCTGTGATGAAAATGATAAAATTATCTTATAGGGGAGATTAAAAAACATGCTTCCGTAAAGCAATACCTTCACTCCTCCAACATAAACAAAGCAACATATAATCAATCAGTACGTCATCTGTTCAGAGAAATTATTCATGCTCAAATGGAATAGCTCAGAATCTGTCTTCTATTCTAGACTCTGTATTTTCTCTACATGCAGTGCATGCAGGGAGCATGCACTTTGCAAATTAGGGGCCTTCAAAGAATAGCTGTTATCCTGTCAGCTCAACTGGATCAAATGAAAGTAATACCACATTCTAAAAATTACCTTGGTGAAGTAGCTGAACTCGATATAGAGGTGGGAGTGATGTCAGAAGGCAGGTGTGCAAGCGCATAGCCAACAAGTATCGTAAGCCACATTCATCTAAGGTATCTCTTCCTGTAAAATATAAAACACTGACTTTTGAATATGGCAGTTGACTACGCAGGGCATGTATATGATTTAAAGGCATGCATGTAACTTACTGTATGCAGTATCTAATGAATGTATCTTTCTAAATTTGCTATATGAGACAAAGTATTGTGCATGAAATATAGAGATTTGTATTTAAGTATTCCTTTCTTTGCCAAATCAAATCTGGGTAACTGATAGAAAGATTTCAGTTTTGTAATTCCCAAATACTCCAAGACTAAATTTGCCTTAGCTGGGAAGACCATGAATATTAATTCAATAATATGCCAGTTACTAACCTGAGTAATTCTTATCTCTGTTCTCATCTAGTTCAGTGCTTGTTGTGGCCACAGTGTCTGCCAAAGCTACAAGGAACATCTGCTCTAGTCGAGTGAGGCCTGGCAGACTTGAGTGCATCAGGTGGCTTGAAAGGACGCTGGCGTGTTCTCGGCCAAAGTAAGTTGGACCATACTGTGAGAGATTAATGACTTTAGATTTACTCTCCCTCTTTTCAGGCTCAAAATCAATGAAGTCATCAGTTGTAACAGGCTGAATCTGAAACAGATCTGAGTACTGGTCCTCTGTTTTTTTTTTAGCGTCTTCTTCAGAGCCCTGGGGTATTTTAGAAGTTTCTTCAGAAACATAAGTTGCATCTTGATCTGCAGCAAGAAGTGCATAAAGTGGCAGTGGAGGAATAGAGTCTATCTCTGTGTAGTCTCGAGTACCATCTTTTCCAGCTGTGATGGTATCCTTTGCAGTACTGCCACTTACACTAATGGTGCGAGAAAGATGGCGTTTAGGACCACTTCCTTCTCCAGCTTCTGTGTCTTTTACTATTGCAACTTCTCCTGCAATACATTTAACTAAATGTGATAGAATGGCTTTGGCTCGGCGAACTTTACCCAGATCCATAAGTTCCAATAGCTGAGTTGGATGATACTGAGGGAGAGTAGGTGAAAGAACATGAGCAGCTTCAAAAAGGCCTCCATCTTGAATTACAGTTGGAGTGCCGAAAACGTCATCCACAATACCTGCCCCATCAATTATACTAGTCTTCTTTGCTATCAAGCTTGTTTTGAGTGGATCTTGAGTTGCCAAATCTTCAGAAGTAAAAACATCACTTTCACCATCACCAAACTTGACAGTGTGTTTCCACTGTGCGTAAACATGCATTTCACAGTCCATGCCCACCACCAGAATACCATCTCTCACCCAGGAGAGAGAAACAGGCAGTGAAGGAGTGCCATCTACAGATGATACCAAATCAATTGATCTAAGCAAAACCCACTTTGACTTTATACCTTGTTTTATGCTACCACCTAGCGGTAAAGTAATAACAGCTACACCCTCTTTGCTGCTTGTTTGATCTGTTACAATTCCTGAAAGTCTCCCATACATGAAAATATTGGCACCAACTCCAACTGTCAATATATGTGAACCATCTTCTTTTGATACCCAATCCAAATGCACCAAATGCTTGATATTGGGCACCAGGTATTTGTCTTTATTCAGACATGCATCTGATTTGCTGTAAACAAACAAATTACTATCTACACTGACCCTTGAATCAAGCACACTTCCAACTGTAACTAAGTCATCTAGATGAATTGTCTGTTCCAAAACCCATTCCGATCCTCCTGTAGACTCGCACTCAAGTATACAAACATGCATGGAAAATTCTTTTGAAACATAGCCATTATGCTGTACAGGCTGCTTGTAAGCTACTGCAAGACGTCCTGTGTAAGAACAACTAACAGCAACTGGTCTTCCTACTATGGTGACAGTACTGCTGTTGTCTTCTCCTTCATCATTCATTAAAGGCCATTTTCTCCAATGATATGTTTCCCTTTCTTCATTTTTGCTGTTTGGATCTGTCTCTACAGTGCACCTCCAGAAACGCACTCTATTGTCTGAACATGATGTTACAATCAAATAAGGTGCAAGGCAGACTGGGTATATTGATGAAGAGCTCAAGTGACCTGAAATTAAAACAGACATAATTGCTAATAGTAACAAAACGTCAAATGACTATAAAAGACAGCCACAACACTGTCACTATTAACAAAGCACTTTTTGATCTGGTGTTATTTTTCTAATTTGGAGTAAGATAAAAACAAATGTTTTAAGATCAGTGACAGTGTTAGTAGCTTGGGCATTACTAATCATCTGCCAGTTCCAACACTACCCAAAGAAGATAAAATTTAACTCAACTAATTTAGAAAATGATTGCTAGAATAATGAAAGGAATACAAAGCTATAATAAGATGAGTTGAAGGACATTAAGATTAGGCTTGTGTAGCACTCAGAAATGAAACCTAAGGAAAGCACAAGAGCACTTAAAAATATCTTGAAAAGAAGAAAAGAGAGACAGAAATAAAGGGGGTAAGTACACAAAGTTTAAAAAAAAACAACAACCAAAAAACCCACTACATACTCATCATATCAATGCTGACAGGGGATGAAGTGGGTATAAATTGTTCATTAATAAACTAAGCCTAGGAATTAAATCTCCAAGCATTAGAGCAATAAGTTTTACAAGAAGCTTTGCTCTGGGGGACTTGATACATTTCAAAAAGAGATGATGAGACATAAAACGTTTTGGATTTGAGAGACATGGACACAGAGGTGAGAGAGTCTTTTTAGTTCTATGTTTCCTGTGTCATTCAATCAAGAGAGTGATGGGGTTAGGGTTACTATCCTATAAAGGTGGTAAATCAGTACATCAATTAGATAGAAAAAAAATGTTAAATTTACCTGCTGAAGGAGTTGCTCTTATTACTTCTACACCAACAGGAAGATCCAGTGGTTGGCTATACACAAGTCTGGAGCTCAGAATGAGTTTACTAGCAGTCTGAAGATTAGCAATTGATGAAGATCGTGGAATAGGACTCACGCCAGGTGATAAATCTGGAGAAGAATCTACAGTCTTCTGCTCAGGTATGCTAAGCTTATTCTCCGATAAAGTAGTTTCAATTGGTTTTGCTATATTGAAAAAAAAGTCATTGAAAACTGCTAAAAAAAACCCTGTTTATATGTTAGGACAAAGCATGAATATATTACAGTCACACGTTTTTCTTAGTTGTGCTTCAGTTATGCAGAAAATAATTATATGTGTTGGCTGCTTTAGTTTTACTGCAAATAATTTTATGCTATGACTGCTCATTATAAGACATCCATAACATTCTGAAATACTGATAATTTAAAATAAAGAATTCAATGATACGTTACTTATCATTTCAACATATTTTTATATTGTCAGTAGTATAGAACACAACCAATGTTTGCATGGAACCTTACTCCTATTGCTTCTGAAACAACAAGCTTCAAATTTATAACATGTCATGATATTTAAAATAAACATCCACCAATAAGAAAATACCTAAACAGGCTTGCACAGATTTGAGATGAAGATGCCACATCTGAAGAACAGAACAGCCAGTGCTATCTTTTTCAATTACTACCAAGTAGAACTTCTCTGAAAAAGGCGGTGGGCGATATCCTGTAATTTAAAAACATTGATGAACTGTCATGAAGTTTACATTCAACAATTGATTAAAAAAAAAAAGATACAAAAATTTTTTTTCCTCCTTGAAATTGATTACAAAACGCTCAATACTAGTAATAATATTTAAATCAATATTTTGTTTGCTCAGATTTATAGAAGAATTAGTAAAATGGAGAGACTAACTTGCAGCCAGCCTGAATATTTTTGATTAATTAAACACATTTGCCTTCTCAGTCAGTTTGAAGTACTCTGCTATATTGGAAAAGCTCTTTTCCCTACAAGCCTGCATTCTACCTTTTTTTTTGTTTTAAATCTAGTACTAAATTCCCAGTTACTTTCTATAGGATTAATTATGAAGATAGATATGTTCACCTTATCACTTGTAACTACATATTAATTCAGGAAATATACTTCTGTTCTACTTTTATGCATTTTAAAAGATACAGCATTTTGAAAAATGGACCTTGTCATACAAGTTAAAACATTTTACTTTAAGCAAATAGAATAATTTTACTTAATACTGTTACCACGTAGGCAATGATTTATATAAACAGCATCAGTCACACATTTCACTAAATTCAACAGATTCTCCTTAAATTGAATCTGGGATGTGCCTGCTAAATTTTAGTACTGTTCAAGAACAGTTTTGGTACCTACTCTGTAGTACTTATTTTTCTGCTGTACCTTGTGATGGCTGGAAAAATATCTCTGTTTCCTTCTCTTCCACATCTTCCTTTTGTGGCTTGTATCCCAAAATGAAGTCTTCTTGAAAGACATGAAGCAATTGAGTATTTGAGCCACACTGAAATATTGAGCAGTAGTAATGCTTTCAGAATGGTTTAACAACATTTTGTACTAAAATAGTTATTTTGTATAATCTGACTATTGATAAGGAGGGATCATTTATAATGATGAAAACCATTTCCTATTAGAAAAACATTTTCATCTGTACATGTTCTTGAACCTTTTGTTTGTATATTCAAACAATTTTACTGAGATCTACCATACTAGACTAATTCTGTAATAATATTTTTGCTGCAATTGCTTAAAGATGATTTTTATTTCTTTAGATGATGAATAAATGACCATAGTAAAATATCTTAGACTTCTACTACTCCTCTTTAGTGGGAAGATGACTGCAATGAATTAAGAAATCTGCTAAAAAAGGGAAGGAACCTCAGATACTCCTCTCATATCTCAATAGCTGTTGTTCCTGACAGAAAGATATTTCTTTGCAGTACCTCTACCCCTCTACAAGGGAGGCTGCTGGGACTGAAATAATTTCCTGCAGACAAAGAAGATGTGTCCCCCAAAGACAATGATGGCAAAATTTTCACATTCCTGAATATCTTCTTTTTTCCAGAGAACTATGGAATGGCATCTTCTTCCATACAGGTATTTTTAAAATCCTACTAGGATGAAATTAGCAAGAGCTAAGTGACTCAATATAAAAGGTGTGTTTCTTAGAGCTTCATCAGATGCCATTACAACAGTGGCTAAGAACAAAGGAGGTAGTGAGAGGTTGCACAACATTTGTATTATGGGAAAGTCTACAGTCACTACTGTGATCAGGATGCTCTCTAAGAAAACTGGATTCAGTGTCTTTTCATAGAAGAGGACTTCCTCTCCAGAGCTTGTTGCTGCCTCTTCAATTCTAAAGCTCTTCCTAGTTCCAGCTTCACCTTTTCCTTGAATAGATATACTGATGTCTACATTCATTTTTTAAAAAATAGGAAAGTGACAAATAAAAACCTAATTATCCTATTTACTATTTCTGTAGGTGTTGGTAACATCCAAGAATGCTAGTTAGGCTTTATACTGCTCATGTCATAAGGGAGGTTAGAAGCTAAGGAGCTAAGAGAAATAGAAAACATTGTCTTTCAACACAGGTCTTGAGAAAAACTGTTTCTTATATCATAATGATGGCTTACAGCCATTTCCTTTATTCCACATATCATTTCATAAGAAAATCGACAAAAATTTTAGAAAAAATATTTTGTATGCCTGAATTGAAGGTGGTCCCATGTGATTAATACTTAAAAGACATAGAAGAATAGAGAAAGAAATATTGAAGAACAGATAAATGCTTATTTACATTTGTCAAATATACCTATATGTCTAAGTAAATTTTTTAATATGATAAAAAAAAAAAAAAAAAATTATCACAGGCTACTACCTAAAGAAACCAGCACAGTAACTTCTTTGAATAACAACTTTGTCATTTAAAGTTATGATTCCTACATTTTAGAAGACTTAAGCTCTAGTTTTTATCTTTTGATGTTGCTTTTGTTTGTCCTTATGTTATGCTGAGTTTCTGAAAGTGACTGTTATTTTTTTCCTTTAAATCATGATGGGGGTAAACCAGTCTTTGGTCAAGTTTATTTTAAATAAGATTCATGCCTAGAAAATATTGTTACACCCTATGGCAATGGACTTTGAGATCCAAGCAGCTAAAAGTTGTCTCCTGAAAGTGTTTTGAAAGGTCCTGAAAGGTATCTCAACATTCATGGAAATTCATCACTATCATTATCACCATAGAGAAATGTCATTTCTTTTATGTCTTTTCAATAGATTAGGTTAATTAGTGTACAAAGCTATCAAACACCTTTATGTGATGTCCTAAAGAATTAATTAATTATTTACTTTGTTAGTTATTGCATCAAGTTCAATAATGCATCCAGGTCGAGCAGTAGATTGTTGGCTCACAATGTTAAACACTTCCCCAATAAGTTTCTGAAACAAAGCAAAATGAGATGAGTTAGTAGATTTTTCCTTCAGACAAAGGAAATTGCAACCATTTACAATAAAATGATCATTGTTTTTTTTTTTTTTCGTTGTTGCCATGAATAGTTAATAAGCTTCTTAGGCTTCTTCCTGTTTTCATTTTGTCAGTTATGAATAATGTGCTTATCAGAACGTTTACACTTTTTGAGTCTGAAACTCTTCATGGGGATAACATACCAATTTAATGGAAAGAAAATGTTGTTTATTTTAAGATTTATCCTTTCATAATAACATAACTCAGTGTCTGTACCACAAAGAACTGAAATATACTATTTCACCTTTGTTTAAAGCTTCAGGTTTTGTCACAACACTGAAATTAAAAATCAATCAGTCAATCAATTCAGGCTATACATAAACTGAATGCACTCTAGGTTACTGCTGGAGCATTCACATTCGTTGGTCAGGCTGATCAGAATACTGACAGCCAATATTTTTGCAGGATAGCTTATAAAATAAGAGAAAAATGGAAACTGGAAAAATGTGCTTGTTTATTCAGTAACAATTAGAAGGGCAGTTTTTGCTTTGCTTGAAGTCATAGGAAAGAAAGATAAAAGAACAAAAAATATGAGTCAATACTACCATTAACAATAACTTGCCCTGATTTCCTTCTATATCAACATTAACTGTGTGTGTGTAAGTCTTGCTCTTCCCTCTTCACCTGCCTAGCTGCTCCTGACTCCCCTCTTCTGAGAAGACAAAGAAAGAAATCCCATTTTTCCTTCCCTCTCTTGCTAAAGTTTCCCTGTTAGGGAAATTTTGTTTCAGTTGAGCCATTTTTAGCAGTAATACTTAAAATTGCCATCTGCTAATGTTTATAGACATTTACAAAACACACGTAATTATACAAATTAAAAATTAAGACCTTATATGTGCAACAGCATGAAACTTGATGTGCACAAATAAATGAAGACAAACCACTGGAGGGGAAAAAAAGTTACCTCAATTACTTTTATTTTTAACATTTCAAGCCATCACTACATAAAACTTACAGATGATTCTGGGTCAGATAGCTCATCCAGAAGCTTTCTTGCATCTACAACAGCTTGGTAGAGCCTCAGGTTTTTGCCATCAGATGCAACAAAACAAGCACTAGCAGAGTTGCAGTATGTACCTAGTAGAAAAAAAAGAAATTGTGGAGTTAATGAAAAAAAAATGGGCATCAAATAGCCTCAGGTAGTCATTTATTTTCCACTTCACAATATCTGAATGTTTTTAACAGTAACTGTTATAAAATATTGAAGTGAAACAAAACCAAGAAATTATGTGGATTAAAACACCAATATTAAGATTTCAAAGTTTCTGCTCATTTATTTTACTAGGAGTCCTCATAAAATTTGAACAATTTAAGTAAGATTCACTTTTTAATATAAATATTGTTCATAGATTGCCTAACAGAATACTGCCATTCCTTAAAATGATTGTGTTTTCTTCACTGTCAAAGAGAACCTCTGAGGAGGTGCTTGGAACTCTAGCTTCCCTAGGTTATTGGAGATGATTTAAAGTAGTCTAAGGTAAACTGTTCAGAATAGCAGCTTTGCAGGACTGAGACAGCAAAAAACTTTACTACATGATCAAAGGCTTTTTTTTTTTTTTTAATCAAAGAAAAGTTATGCACTTATTAAGCATACTTAGTATTTTTGAGGTTGTTCAGTGCCTTTGACACCCATTTAAGAATTGCAAAGGTCTGCCTGGCCTTACTGTAATAAAGTATCCTAGCATTATTAAACTTGAATAATGTTACCTTCACAATTTACATTTTTTATACTGTCCACAAAGACAACCACTATTACAACAACATCTTTATAATTAAAAAATAAGTACCTAAGTGGCAGAGTAGATTAACATTTCTAGCAACAATTTTCTTAAATGTAACAGAGCATCAAAATTTTATACAAAAACTTCCTGCAAGGCATTGCATCTGATGTTGTACATCCTGACCTGCAAATAGTGTTTGCAGTTTTGTAAAGTAAGTGTAGTTGCTTTAAGATTGCCTAACACACTGAGCAATGAGATCACCTTGTCCTGTTGTGAGAGTGATTATTAACTCTAACAAAGAAGTTGCTGCCTGTCAACTGTTCCATAGTAACTACAAACTGTTAGCCCACACAAACCATGCAATTTTGAAGTAGCTTAGCCTCACATGGAATAAGAATGCCCATTGGCACAACACAAGGAAACTGCTGAGAAGTACAATACTCCAAATATAACAGTAATTTATTTTTAAAAATAAATTCTAAGGCTACCAGTGTTAATTTTACATGGGATCATGCTAAGAGTACTTACCAAGGCAGTAGCTGGGAATAAGTGTGGGAAGCCAGGCTACATTGGAGAAAGCGGAAGTATGAAGAGAGTTAATTCGGGCCAACTCAGACACTCCTCCAGTGTATGACAAAGGTCCTATTGGGTCTACACGCCACAGAATCAGCTCACTGTAAATTGCATTTGGGTCATGAAATGTACGAGTTGCTGCATTTTTAAGTTGTTGCCGAGAAGAACCTTTCAGATGTTTACTAGGATCCATTACTCTGCTTATTCTGTCAGAGCTGTGAGAACTGTCTGATTCCGGAGTTAATAGAGCATTATGATGAGAAGATGTTAACAGTAATGGTAAAACAGAATGGCAAGCTAGATCATTAAGATGAAAACGGTGACCACAGTACCTAAATTTATGTGATACAGTTAGCACAGTAGTGAAAGCTGATTTATCAGCAAAAGTCACTGCCCACTGATTTAGAGAGCCATCTATATGCTTGGAAATCATCATTACTATGGGAGAAATTATATTCACGTTTGTACTGCTCTGGGTAAAGCCTGGTCCTCTATTCTCCAGAGTTTTATCTGAAAAGTCCATTGTCTTCTGATGTACAGCATTACTGGTATCTTTTGATAAGACAGGGCAAGCATACATCATAATATTTTTGCTAAGGGAACTAGCATCTCCTGATGGAAACGCAACAGGAATCCTAGAAGAAAATGAAACCTGTAAGGGGAAAAAAACATAAAATTAGAATATAACAACTCAGTGCAAGTCCAAATACATGTTAGATGTCACAGGAAATGCTTACAAGTAAATTCATTCTGATGACCAGATTTAAATTGCAGGAACACAATGACTTCATTAGGATCATAAGTAATAAACCAATTTCAAATATACAACACCTGAACTTGGCGAAAGATGCCTGGAGTGTATTCATCTAAATACTTCACATGCCATAGCAGAAAGGTACCATCGACAGGATGGATGGTAAAAAGCATATCTGGATTTCTGTTCCATTCAGTCAGCAGCAACTCAATTTTCCGATCTAACAAAACTGTTGGAAGAGGCATCCGTAGGCTTCCTCGTAGAGATGTTTTGGGGCTTCCCTCTCGTTCTCCATCTTCATGTTCTGAAGAGCCTGTACCAGTCCCTGTCTCTGATTCTCTATCTATAGACAAGTCTGCAACAGAAATGTGTTTTATCTATTTCAAATATTTTTCTACCATTGTTTCTATTCCAACCAAGAAAACATTTTAAAATCTGTTGACAGCACTACCTCATAAGAATATTCATGCAAACTGAGGGTAGACATATCTGTCTGTACAACTCTCCACTTATTGCTCCTAATTAGTAATAATGAATACAGTCATCAAAATTGAGATACATAGAATCTTACCCTGTCTACGATTATTCGGCTCAATTACATAAAAACAGATATTTAGTATTAGTGCTGGTTCCACATTTAGAATATTTATTTCTGTTTAAAAGGTTATCATGAAATACGTGGTATATGATCATTGATGAAGTAGCATGTACAGTCATAATTGTGACAAAATAAATTGCAATAACCTAAATTTTAAGAACCCAAGAATTATGAATGACAATATTTCATTAGTTTACCCTCAGTATTAACTCTTCCTTGTTTAGGCAGAAGAGTTTTTATTATTACATGTTGTTAGATAATTCTTTATTCTTAAGTTTGAGGAGACAAGGGAAAATAATTTTTTTAAATAAATAAATAATAAATAAATAAATGGTTTAAATAAATAGGATTTGTAATCTTTAATAAAATTGAAGGAATACATATTCTGGAAAAATGACATTTTCTCAGCAATGTGAAGTCTTTCCAGCAGGACATCTTTTCCAAGATTAATTTCTCAATATGTCCCTCTGTTCCTTTGTGAACAGCTACAATTGGGATCGCTGGATGCTGTAAGGTTTAAGAAGCAAAGCTTACACTGGACAGAATGCAGTTTCATTCAAGTGGAACAATGTCCAACCCTCCTAAAAGGTATCATCAATTCATCCTTCATTACTGACAATCAGGCTGTATGGTAAATCAAGAGCAAGTCCTAGTCTTTATTTCCTAACTATGAAGCATTTCCAAAACAGATAGGAAAAACAAAGCAACCTTTCTTTTTCACTGTATAAATCATTACTGCCTTCCAATAGGGGGATATTTCATTAAGTTTTTCATGCCACCCAGTTATTTGAGGAGGCAAAATTGTAGCTATTTCTATTTATTTTAGGTTAATAACAAAATATTATAATTTCTGATTCTCGTGCTAGATATTTGCATCAATTACTGCACTAAACAAACGTGTTTCAAGACTACTAACCATGATCTAATTTCATGCGCAAACCTCTCTCTTTTTCTTCTATTTCTTCTTGCTCTTCAACCTCAGCATTATCAAAATCTTCTTCTAGTTGTTGTTCAGAAAGTTTTCTTAGATGCTGCATAAATACTTCAATAGATGATGTAAAATTAAATTCCTTATTATTCAACCAGTGAACAACGAAGCCTCCATTGCCTTCATCTGTATTAAAAGCTGTTCCAGCCAAAACGGATGGAATATCTGTGGATAGTTGTAAATAAATCAAAAAGCTGTATCTTAAATCTATATAAATGTATATATACTTATATAGTACACACAGATTTCTTGATTGAACATTTAACTCATTCTTGGTAGAACATAATTTGTGCCTGTAAGCTTAGGAAAAGTAAGATTCAGATCAAGTTCCTACATATGAATTAAAACCAATAAAAATACAGTTTAACATTATTGAAGTAACAAATTGTAATGAGAATAGTAAATGGTATTTACTAGGTCTAATTGCTCAGTTTCATAAGTTACAGTGTTGTCACTTCACCTACTGACTTTAGTCAGTAGTACCTTTAATCTTTTTCTTCTACAAAAAACAAACTGGTTTTATCCTAAAAAAAATATTGTACAACTTTTCTTCATTCTGTATATTCTGTAGTTAAAATACTTCATCATATACTGTTGCCTCCTTAAACCCAACAATCAAGCATGAAGCAGACTTGAAATTTAGGTTGTGAAGCTTTTTTTACCTTCTGATATGCAAAAATAAATTTAATTTGGATTTTAAGAATGCTGAAAGTTTTGGGCAACTGGCTGTAGGTGACCCTGCTTAAGCAGAGGCATTGGACAAGATTATCTCCAGAGGTCTCTTTCAACCACAACTATTCTGTCAGTCTGATTTTTGGGGAAAAAATAATCAGTAATTAAAATATTCAGACCAATTTGTTTACAAAATTCTAAAAAAAAAAAAAAAAAAAGTTATTCCAAATTAAAAAAAGTTATGATATAATATCCTTCCTATGAATACCTTGTATTCAAGACGCCGAACAAAGAACATGGACTTCAGACCTCTCTATTTATATTTTCCATTTTGTGCAAATCTATTTTTAACAATTTGATAAATGGTTTCATTTTACCTGTATTAGGGTTGATGCTTGCTGCTATGTGGAAGTGACCGAGTGCATTTGCGTGATGTGAAATGTGACGCTGAACTTCGTGAGTACCCTGCTGATCTGGCAATACATCTGTGTGGGTAACAAGAACGGAAGACCTCCTTTGTCCTTTTCTCATATTTTTCAAGTGGTGAATTGTCTGGTACAGTTAGAAAAAACAATTTAAGAAACAATAAAAAAATTAAGATAGAAATATTTATGTAAAACCTAAAGTTTTAAAATTTCCTTTTCCCTAAGAAGTGAAGACTAATTTCAAAAAGATTACTTGAACTTCACTTCAAAGGAGATTAATAAAGCTCATGAGTATCAGTTCTAACTGAAGACAAAGTTCTTTTAGCAGTCTCCTAAAAGGTCCTTACATTATCTGCTTCAAAGACAAAAAAAAATCCAACTATTTTGTGTAACATTCATGAAAAAGATTATTTCTGTCTAAAAGCAGAAACAATTATAAAGCAATTTTATAATGAATTATTTTTATGCAACTAAAAATTAGTGAGAGTACGTGGAGAGTGCAGCTTATTCAATAGCCTGAAACATAGGTGGTTCCACCCTCTCTGTGTATTGTCAGTCATGATATATAATTAGTAAGAACTTCACCTGATTGTTATATTCTACAAATGAGTGGTGTTTTTGTTTGGTTTTGTTTTCACACAGGTTTTTTTCTTCCTGTAAACATAATATACTGTATATGACTGCCACTGAAACTTAGAGCTTAACATTTTTATAATTCTGAAAATGCAATTATCTAGTCAGATGTCTAAAGTAATGTGTATTTACTGCTTCTACTGTTTTTTTTTTTTAATACAGACTTTCAGATCTGAAACCATCTTGCTATTCTGTATTAGTCATGGTCTGTCCTCAACACTTTTAGTTAGCTATGGAAAAAGTAGACTGAAATTTAAGAACATGTAGTTTAGTTGCAGATCTATAAACCTCTTATTTCTTCAGTGATTAATAATATACTTCTATAAATAATGCAGACTATTCTGCTACGCTTATAAGAATTAAAGAATACACAGTCTTAGAGTTCTGCATAGTTTAAATTTTCTAGTAAACGTTTACAAGTTTTAACAATCCTGAAATACAAAATTGACAAGTACTGTACCTCTAATGCATGCTGTATTCTGTCTTTGTGCTTTCCAGATTGAGAAATGGTGCTGCTAATGCTGGAAGTGCTAGTTTCACATATTTGCTCACCCAGAAGAGTATCTTCTGGTAACAGTGTCTCTGCCCACAGTCGACAGATGCCATCGAGACATGATGTGAGTAACACATTGCAGACTAAACCCCTAAAGAGAAGCATATAAAAAATATTACGCAATATAGTTAAATTGTGATTAAAAACACAACAAAAATCAGGAGAATATACGAGTATTTAGCCTTCATCATTACTTCATCTAAATTTCTACCTCTCCCTCTAAGCTAAAGGTTTATATAAGGGTTTGTATGTTATAAAACTAAAGATTTTATAACAGTAGTGATTTTCAACATGCTGACAGATAAGCTCATAAATTATTAGCAAAAGTGCATGTGAACATGGAGTGGTTATTATTTGATAAATGCAATGGTTATTATAAAACTGCAATTATGGAACTGTCGAAATTATTGTTTTGCTGGATAATGTGAAGAATACATACGTTTTTACTAAATCCTGACAAGTGAATCAAACAATGAATTAAACAGCAGCATATAAAACAAGGTTCAGAAAAAATCTTAGTGCTAACTGTTTAAAGAAAAAATTTTATTTCCAATGTCACAATGTCTGGCAGAACTTGAGAAGCTCAGACCATATTTTAGAATAAATCTCTCCTATTAACATGACTATAATCATTGTAATAAGGAATGGACATCTTCGTATATGCTGGATATGTTCAATTTCTTCAAAGTGTAAGCAGTGAAATTGAACCATGTTCTCATGGCCAAACTTTAAGCAGTGTGGTAAAAAACAAAACAATACAAAAAACCATAACAATTTGGTCAAATATTTGCTTGCTGGTTTGTTGGTTGTCTTAAAAATTAAATCTTTCAAACCTGGGCATGTACTTGCTAATATTACGCCATGAAAATCCTGTCACTGCTCGAGGATGAGCTAAATAGGCAAATGAGAAGTTGACAACCCCTGAGCATTTCTTCTTCTCTTCATTCTCTTGGGGCAGAAGAGATGACTTCCAACCAGTTATAGGATACCAAACCTTTAAGAGGCAATCATCCTAGGTAAAGCAGCAAAATAACATGGGATTAGCTAGCTATAAGTGAAAAAAGTCAGAAAAAGAAAATACTAAAATGGTACGAGACTGCTGTTCAGTACCTTTCATGAATACTCAATCTATGCCCCGGGACTATTTGCAGTTTTGCAGACAACCCATTCCTGGGACCAGAAATTTCACTGATAGTAATCCTGAAATGAGTTGCAGGACTGAATAAATATTCTGGTAGGAACACACTACTCCCAGAAGTAATTTTTCTTGCAGTCCATTTGTTCCCCTACGTTCCTCTTGGTTCTCTTTGCATTTTTTGCATATTACACGTGTGCTTAAATCCCACATCCATTCCTCTGCAAAAATGAAAGCCAGAAAGGCTGCCACTCCCAGTTCAACATTAAACTCATTAACAGTCAATTTCTCCCTTAAGAAAATTTGTGCTTTAAGTCCCTGGGGGTTCCCACGCACAGGAAGCCTGATTTTTGTGGGAAGCACTGTATCTGCTGAGTATAGGCACAATGCAACCCTTCCCTCCACTAGCAGAACATGTGCTACCTTTCCAGTTTGAATGGATGGCTACTACTGATCTAGTTAATTGAAACAAAAGTGAATTGCTGACACAGTAATACTCCAAATGCTGATAAGTGGTACTGGAGTATGACTACACCAATGTGAACTAAGGCAACATTACTAGGATGACCACAATACACTGTATACATTTGTGCAATACATCCTTGGATTTCAGCACTGGAAAGGGAGTGTAGATACAGAATAAACAAATAAATTACAAATCTCTGGGAGCTCTTATTTATTTCCTGTCAAACATGTAAAAGGCAGTATCTGACCAGACTCTGCAAGAAGGAAGTTTGAGAGACAGCACTGTTAAAAATTATGATGAAAGTTGTGAAGGAACTAAGATGGATCTATCCTACAAACAGGAAATAACTACTGGAACCATCTGCTTCACACACTTAGTCAAATTCTTAACTAAATAAAATAAATTCATGAAAAACAGAAGCATGGAACAAAGAAAAAGTTTTGGTATTTTTCTAACTACAATGACTTTAAATGTAATATTTTTAAGGTGACGTTATTAGATTTTTAGTCATAAAGTAATGACAGCTTATGATTCCATTGTCCTCTTTAATAAGTCTAAGAAGATAAAGGTTTCTAAAATTCCTATATCATTTGACCAACATTAGCACAAGCAATAAATGCCCAACTATCCAGACTCTCTAAATTCAAATGAGAGGGTAACATTAAAGAGAATTATTAGTTGAAAACTAAGTTTGAATAGCAATTTGACAAAAAAATATGACAAATGGAATTAGAAGTTAAGAACTGATAACCAAACCCAGACTTCACTATAAACAGAAAATCTTTCTGTACACTGATATGCACATTACACCTGCTTAAAGGCATATGTTTTTCATCATGATCTGAAATTTATCCTAATTATTTCAAATAAAGAATGAAAAAATTGTTTACGCATATCTGAAAGTTCATCTAAGTATACTTTATCTAAAATATTACTGAGTCTGCATCACTGTCACTGTATTTTCAGGACAATTCTGAAGTATTCAGTAACAGTAAACAGCTAAATCAAATTTCTTGTTGAAATTCATGGAATTCCATGAAAATAGAGCATTATACAGAAGATGATTACTTAGCTCAGATTGCAGTAGAATACATGGCTATAGGACCATTCTATATTATTTTCTTCTGTCAAAAAAAGGAACGCAGCTGAAGAACTTATCTTGTTTGTTGTTGTTTTTGTTGTTCTTACCTTCCCAGCTGTTGCAAAGTATTCACCATCAGGAGACCATGCCATCAAATGTACCGATACTGCAGTCCTAAAGAACACAAGAGTAAAGTTTTAAAATGTAAGTAAAGTCTATTTATTCTACAGTATTACTCCATATATATTTAGTTAATTCAGTGTTAATGTCATTATTTAATTAAACTATATTTGTATTTTACAGTTGTTGTTTTAAGCATACTTTAGATATGGCAGAAGCATAAGAAGTATTTGCTATAAGAAAAGATAGTATTTAGTATTTTCATATAATTTTCTTTAGAGAAAAACAGCACATTAAAAAATCAGTGGTTTTAGGTATGGTAAGCCTAGGCTAGATCTAATGAGATCATGGAAGTGAAGTTTTTTCCACTTGCTTTTCTACTCCCAGAGGCCAAGACATGAAAGGAAGGCATCAAACAGCTCTCATCTTGATCAGCATTGCATGTCTGCTTGCTGCTGCTCCTCTGTCACATCCAATATCTCAGCACTACTTTCAAAGGATGAGAAGACAGGGACAATTTATACATATTGCCAAGGCTATAGTTAAGCCTTTGATATGTTACTGGGTGACTGAAGGTCACCTGAAAAAATGAGGGTTTTTTTTTTGGAGTAACTTCCATTGTTTGAATTTTATGATAGTTTAAGCTTATTTAAAAGTGTGTTTTAAAATACATTTTTGGAGAGAAGATAGGGTTGATATGAGTTGGCATTGCAATCTGTCTTAAAATGAGAACTGTCTCACTCACTTGCACTGCCAGACACATTTCCAGTCATTCAAAACTGGCAGAACTTTATCATCTTTCATCTGATTATCAGGATCATCTTCATCTTCTTCTAAAATGTCACTAGATGGTGGAGCCCACAGTTGCAAATAGTCAGTTGCTGTCAGCAGCCTGTTACCTGAATGTGAGTAACATTGAAGACGTGAAACCAAACTGATATGTGCATAATGATGTATAATGTCTGTCATCATATTTTGATGAAAATAATTAAAAACAGGTTGAACATTCAACTTTATAAAGTCCATTTTAAATACAAAAGAGTATTCAATCATATTATACATCTGTTTTTATCAAAACATTTTGAATGTATAATGCCTTTCAAGAAAAACTGTTAGGGTTTTGATGTTTTTAAGATGACTTTGAATGACAGACAGTTTTTAATAATGACCTTTGAAGATGCTGAACAGCCATTAATGTCTCAGATAATGCACACTGGTAGATATCTTATCAATATCTCTATTTTGGTAGAGTTTTATTATAAGTCAGCAATATATTTAAATGATTATTAGTGGTAATTTAAGGTAGTTTTCAACTTAGCACTGTGATTCCCAAACTAAGATCTTACATAAAGCACTCAAATACTTGCATAGAATCTTTATAAATGCATTGTATCTGATGCTATGGTGCCAAGAATGGATCATCTAAAATGTCTGTATTTATGCTCCCACTTCATTTCAATAAAAATAATTTATGCTCAAGTTTTCTAACTACAAACATTAAACAAATGCATCACAAATTTCACATTACCTTGAGGATCCCAGGCTAGGTTGTAAGTCATAGAACTGAGAAAAAACTGCCCCGTTTTAAGCCACTGACACTTAAGCTGCTGCAGTTTAAAAAAGAGTAAAAATTAATTTTAACATCAACAGCAATGGCGTTTGTATTTATTTCTCACTAAGTTGTTACAAATGAAGTCAGGACCCAGTGGTACACTGTGGAATCTAGTTTGAATAATTTCAATTGTCTTATAAAAATTAAACACATCACAGATCAGTCACATCACATACAAATGAATCTGTAGATTGCTATAAGCTAGTTACATCACACATTTATAACAACATGAGGAGTGGCAGTATAGATGCAACAGATCACAAAACCCACTTGTGAACACAATTAACACTTGACGTTTGGCCATGACTGTGCTGTTTAAACTAGCTGGGATACACAAGTCCAAGTCCTATTTCTGTATTACAGACCTGGCATGTCAATTTAAAGAAATATGAGCTGACTGCTATGTCACTCTTGCATCAGATCTTGCTGTGAACTTGAGAACATTGCAATTCCCAGTTCTGTTTATACAGTGCAAGATCCTTCTCATTTATTATTATTTGATCTTTTATTATTATTATCCATTACCATGGATGTTGTGAAATGTGTATCCAGTAGCCTTTTGTGTGCCAATTTAATAACTGATAGACATACTTTTCCTTCAGAACCCAAAATGAATTACAATCATGAAATATATACTTACACTATTTCTTTTATGAGAATTTACACCAAGTGGTTCAAAAATGCAAACAGCATTTCCATATGATGCTGCAATCTGGAAAAAAACCCCAAAGATTCAAGATACAAGGTTAAGAGAGAAGCCTAACTTCTCCACAATCTTTGAAAGAATCTAAAGAATTTCTACAGTGCTACCTCAATGTACAGACATTCAACAAGTAAAATGAATACAAATGTTATTCAGAGTATTATACAAATACTTTCTATAGGAAGATCAGAAATGCATACCTTTGAACTAGCCCATCTTTAAGATTTTAACTATAAGTATGGAAGATATTTTATTCAGTGGGATAAACACTGTCAATCAGATCTAATACATACTTCTAAGGCAACTACTGTTAATGCATAAGGGAAAGCTGATATCTTACTACTTCTGCTCGTTTTCCCTACTTTACAAACTAACTACTGAATTAATTATTCGTGTCTGGGTCTCAGTGTGACCCCATGTTCCATTTTGTACCACTAAATAATAATTACTAGAAAAAGGGAAGAAATTTGATTCCATTTTGAATAGTTAAATACATTGTCAGGGAAGACAAATAGTAATAGAAACACTGAAGTTCTTGTACCACTCAATTTCCTTCATCCACTTGTTTTAGAGAAACCCTCCATGTACACAATGGCCTTTATTAGGAAGTAATCTAGAAATACTCCCAGTACTCAAATGCTTGTAAGTACTTTTGACAATCATTTAACTGTTTTCTTGTATAAAAGATTTTTAAAAGAACAACTATTTAAAGTTCCTCTCATTCTCTTTGTCACAGAAATGAAATAAAAGTTTCACTACATTTCTTATGAAATCTTACTTCCTCTTCACATGGTGGGGAGAAAATTAAAATAAACACCAAATCAAAAAAGAACGGACTTTGAGTTTAGAGTCCTGAATGCAGAACTCTGCAGAGGTTCACAGTGGTCTTGCAGAAGCCACCTGTGCAAGATGGAATCTCTCTTCCCACTGGGCCTGCATGGCTGAAGTGCAGGGCCCTCTACAGCTAAAATTTGCCTGAATAGGTAACAGTGGTAGGCAGATACAACTGATAAGCAAAATTTGTGCTCACTGCTCTACAATACTTCATAGGAAGGCTTTGTTTTTTTTCATGGCAATCTAGACTGTGTGTTTAGCATTGTGTGGGGATTAAAAATAAAGCCACATAGCCAGTCAAAGGCCACACAGTTATGACAGCTCATATTGCAGCACTTTGAAACACTGCAAACGTGTCTTGAGCTTTTCTGAAAAAACAAAGAACCTTTAATTTATTATTCTGCAGGACACACAAACACCCATGTATGTTTACATAAATTATTTATCCCTGACATGATTTGCAATACACAAGCAGAAAATAATGGGAATCACAGAAGCAGGAATTTTAATACCATTGCTATACTGCAACCAATATATCTTTCCACATTTTGAGAGGTTTGTTACTGCACATGTTGGAAAGGTATAAAATCCATTGTTGTAATATAACTCCTGCCTTCTCCCTGCACCACAATCTAAAATTTTCAAAAATGAACTGTATTAAAACAATCCTCTGAATGGTGCTGAAAATCACAGATCAGTAAAAATCTTTGTCATTTAATTAACTTGGTAATGACATTAATGTTTTGTGTTGAATTGTTTGAGTACCCTTTTTCTTTAGGCCTATATAAAAATGAAAACTAAAAAAACCAATCCTTACCCTGCCTTGTCGCTGGGAGCACTCCACACAACTGACCTGAATGTTTCCATGTTTAGCACCAGGAATAATTTGTACACATTCAAAGTCATTTGCCAGAATAACAATGTCACAACCAGAACCATATGCCTGAAATGATTTTTAAAAGAAATACAAATTAAAATTTATTAAGAAACAAACACGCAAGCAACTAAGTCATTTAAAAAGTCAACTAAATCATTATTAGAATTATGTTTGAAAAATGTAAATGAAAAATGTAAGCTAGTAACGGAGCTTATGTTGCTATGTAGAGAGTTCATTCCTTATCAACTTGGTAGCAACAGCAGGATAATCAAGAAGTATAAATCAACTCCTAGGACTTACTCTGTCTTTCAGACTAGGAACAATTATCAGGAGGGAAAAGGAATTTGAGCAGACAATGCCAATATCTGAAGGATTTACAGCTGGGGATGGTTACATCCTTCTGCAAGCAGATGTGAATGTATTGTGGTTTAACCGCTCCATGCACTAAGTGTGCAATACAGTAATACTGTCTGCTTGCTTTAGGGTTCTATGCTTTTGCATTTATTGGACAGCAGAGTATAACGTGCATTGATAAATAATGTCAAGTATCAGATGTTGATGGTATTATACTAGAAATGTTTATTCTACTGTCAGGAAAAAAATTCTCCATGATGAGAAGATAAGCATATTTTTAATGTTCTCTCCAGCATTTTGGGAAACAGAGAAAAATTCTGTTAGTCTGCAGTGACCACATTGCTAATTTCCATGCTAGACTTTCCTGCCAAAAAAAGAAAGCAGAGCCTAAGATTTTCTGTCATGTAATGCTACTGCTCCTGAATATCAGTGAAAGCCTATTTAAAACAGGAACAATTGTACTCTTCTTGAATTTTAAATTTACACAGGTTATTTTCCTTTTTTTTTTTTTTTTTTTTTTTTTTTTGGTGTTATAAAGTTTCAGAGGCAAAAGCAATGAGACAGAGCTGATTTCAAGATGAAATAGGAAAGCACACCTTAAATTTTCCCAGGTTTAAATCATGGTAAAAAACAAGCAAACAAACAAACAAAACAGTAAGAAAACTTATTCTAAAACTTCAAGTCTGTGTGTTCTTTCACTTAAAGAAATTGTATTGAATTTAAGCAGAAATTCCTTCAATTCATCCTGCTGTCACCATTCCACCCCCTTTAATAAGAACATCAAATGCTGCTTTTCCACAAGGATCCCATTTCTGCACTTCTCTGGGTTTTAAAATAATGCTTGTTACAATACTGCAAAACAAGGATTTGTCCTGGGTATGTTGTATCTCATAGATAAACATAGTATCTCATAGGCAAACTACAGTATAAAGAGTGTAAGAATAATTTATAGTACAATGATAGCTTGCAGCACTTGTTTTTGGCAGAATAAACACGTATGTCTGCCAACCTTTCACCTGTCCCTGTGCACCAGAATACTCTAAGCCCCATAATCACTGCAGATGATCTGTTGTACTGAAGTCCCACATTCAAGCACAGAAATCCCTTTCTTTCATAAATCTACTAACAAGCTGTTTTAAAATAAATAAAAGTCATAGTAGGAGGCTTCTTTCCTTAAAGGAAGTTTTCCACTGATTGTAATACAGAAGACCAACATTTTACAGCAGTTGAATTAAGCAGGAACGTGCCTGTTCTCAGCAGGCAGTGCCAGATGCTATAAAATTACTTTGTCAGTTTAACTTGCCCCTTGCTTTTCTCACTATAATTTCTAAATTACTGAGTCGTAGCCCTCACTTTTGAGGTCAGTCATTTTAAAGGCTACTAAGTGAGTATTTCTATAGGCTTCCAATGCCTGTTGCTGGTCACTATAAGGTCATGGTGTAGTAAAACCACTGGAACTAGAGAAGTCTACAAGATCTCTCAGTCTCACATGTTTACTTCTGATCTTCCTGGGAAGGAACAATGAAAATCTGAAGAAAAAAGGCTGAATTTAGTGAAAGGATCATCACTGCTTAAGACAGGAAGGGAACAGCAACATAAATAGAAAAAGCAGATACTCAGCCTGTAGAATTTTTTAACCTACCTCATGTTAATTTCTGTCTGATTTACAGACCTTTGAACTTTTTCTTGTGCTAACATTTCCCTTATACCTTGTGTTGCTTGCAGTACAGAAAAGATTTAGTTTTTACTTTTTTTTTTTTTTCAGTGAGAGCTCTGAAAGAATTTGCTCCTCCAGCTGTCAAACAATTGGGCCTGCTAAAGTATCTCAACATTTGGCTTGTGGAATTCTGGATGGTTGTTTCTAAGGGAAAGGATTTGGGATTTCATCAGAGAATATTATGTCTCTCAGCTTGAGAACTGGCAAAGATACAAAGAAAAATGTCATGACTTGAGAAGTAGAACTGTGATAAAATGTTTCACTATTAGTTTTCTTGAAGCCTAGAAAATCATTGTTTCTATAAATGACCTTTCTGCTACCACAATATTTAAAGTAAGTGGTTATGCATGTCCTTGGAAAGAAACTATTAATGAAATGATAATTCCAGGTTCCTTTTTTTTTTTTTTTTTAAAGCATCTACAATTTCTCACTCCATAGGACGTCTGCCAGCACAGTCATTAACAGAGAATATGTTTATGGATTTTACAATCTGAAGATAGTTAGGGTCAGTAACTACATTGCTTGCAAACACCTGGTTTTGTGAGTACTATTGTCACTGCTCTAAATACATGCTTTTGATATGATCTTATATAATGTGGTCCCCTTGCTAAATACCAACTTGAACATGAGAATACACATTTTACTTGTAGATGTAGCAATTAAATGTCCAAAGTAGTCCTACAACTGTGTAGTTGCATGCAAAAATTAGAACTGGGTACACAAAACCTAGACTGAAAGATTTCCAAGGCCATGGCACAGAAATGAAGTAATGCAGCGTTGTCTTTCTGAGTCCTCAAACCTACAGCTGTTGTTCTGGGAAGCTCTGAGGAACTGATACTCAGGTATCAGTATACTGCAAGCAGGAAGGAGGGGGGAACCAACTGCTAAAAGGTGGTTAGAGGGAGATTATCTGTGTAAGAAAATACCTTAAGCTCCTTTGTGACTAGGCCATGCATTATTACACCCTGTCTGGAAGGGAACACATTATTACAGAAGTTGAATATAATTATTTCCAGAAAGTGGGAGTGAGAGAGACTTGAGATATTGAAGTAACTTCTGGCACTGAACAGAAAATCTTTCTGCTTCATTGTTCCTCAACTTCTCATATTGGATTTTGTTGCAAAACAAACTCCATGAGTGGTGTGGAAAGCTGGACAGTTCAGCAAACATTCACAAGTAGGGTGAAGGAGATGGAGACTGTGCTGTGAATGCCCAAAGGAAGACAGGAAAACAAAAGCAGGTCCTGGAGTTCCAATATTTTATTCATCATTCTAATATTCACCAGCAGTTGAAACCCCTACTTCCAAGGGTAAGCAATTAAAACAACCAAGATTCATTTTCAGTTTTTTGTCCATCAGTCTTCCTCCTAATTACTAATACCAACAAACTAAGGGACAAGATTTAAAATGTTGTTTGATACATTAAGAAAAAAAAAGAAAAAGGTATTGGTCCACTTAAAATAAGATCTTAAACTCTGTTAATACCTTATTTTTTTTTCATTGTTGGTATTGATAATTTGACTTGAAAGAGATACAGACACGTGTCTCAGAAATAACACAGAGAAAGGAGAAGACTTCTCAAGTTCAGTTATGCTTACTGTTGTTAAACATGCATGCCTGTGTGTGTGTATAGTTGATAATGGACAAACCAGAAAAGTGTTAATGCTTGTGTATGTCTGTTTGCCCTGTGAAGGAAGAGAATTTAGTATGTTGTTTTTTAAAATGTTTTAGTTTCCCCTCTCCAGTCCCCTCTCCCCAGTTATTATTATTGCAACAAAAGAACATTTTGCTGGTTAATTTTAACATTTAGCATTTTTATGAAATTAACTAAGGAGGTGGTTAATAAGCAAAAGGGTGTTCCACAGAAGAAGGTTCTTTTGTTCTTCTTAAAGAATCATCAAGACATAGAGATCTGTTTCCTAAGTGAAATCTTACTATTCTTTCTTCTGTTTCTCCTCTTTGCCTACGTGTGGCACTGCACCTAAGTGTCCTATGTCAGTCCATGGGAGACCTCAGCCAGAGCACTTTCCCTACAGGTATCAGCCTGCAGCTCCAGGTTCTTTGAGGAAGCACTCTTGGTTCTGAGGTCATTTTCTTAGTGTTGATATTTATTTTGAGAAAGTCTCTTGTTTCTTGAAGTTCTTTAGGAGTGTATTTGCTATAAAACTTCAGTAGTACATTATATCAGCACTTTTAAGAAAAGGCACACCCTCATTTGAAAATGTGTTCACTTTTTCACATTTACACTGTCACATTTTTCAAAACAGAAGAGATCAATATATTTTCCTGTACTGCAAGGTATTTCTACATAGTCACCTTGTATTGTCTAAATACAAGCTTCCCATTTGATTACTTTTATTTCTATTTTATTTCTAATTATCTCAATATATTATCATGCTTACACCAGAACAGAACATGTTTCAATCAAATCCTCTTTTTAATTTCTTCTTTCCTTCCGTAAAGGTGCTTAACTAGTAGCCCCACTACACTGACAAAGAATAGGAAAGTGCCATAATAGTTATAATGTTTAACAGTAGTTCCTTCTGAAGGACACAGCTGACAACATCTTCAAGGGGATCCTTTGTGTCAGCACAGATCTCCCCTGCCAGAAGAAGAGTGGCCACAGAATTCGAGGCAACAGACTAATCATCTGCACAGCCTGATGGAAGGAATGGAAAACTGGTAAGCCAAGCAAAAAGAAAAGATGGAAAAAAACATGCTGAGAGATACTGTAATGGTTCAGCAGTGCAGAGGCCTTAGATAAACAGTTGTAAGCTGTCACTGAATGAAACCAGTGCAGCAAAACCGCCCACATGGAATACCTGCCAACCTCCATTTCCAATGTCACTGGTAACTTTAAAATTAAATGGATTTGCAAAACTGCCAGAATGCAAAGATGAGTTGCAGGATCCACAAGCAGCTAATAAGCTGTGGTTTGCCAATGTTTGCTCGAGATCTGAGCCCATTGAAATGAGCAATGTCAAAGCTCTAATTGAATGCAGGAGTACTGGGCTCAGGTTCTGATACAGTAGGACACTGTGCTAAGCTAAGTGAAACCAAACAGGGGTTGAAAAATGGAGGTAGTTTACAACCTCTGAAAAACATACTGGCTAAAAGTTACTCTACAAGGTGCAGATAATGAATACCTTTTCTGGTTAGTCAGGGTGTGTTGAAAGACTCCTTGCATAGCAATCAGCTCTGACCACCTGTAACTTCTGTATGCTTCTTTGTGAAACATGATTAGTGCTAACTGCTGAAAGGAGGACAGGAAGCCCGGCTCACAGCAAGTTGCAAAGTGCGCTGAATTACTACCAGAATGACAAACAGAAAGCTGTCATTTAGTACTAAAACATAAACAACAACAACAAACTACTAACTGCATGGTCCCAGCACTATTTCTTTGGATTTGTTTCACTTCATGGAGTCACTGATACCTGTTTCTTTTTAGCTAATTAAAAAAGCTTAATAACAAAATTATTTATTTTTCCTTTCTTATGCTCAGAATAACTAGATGCCATTCACCTAAAGCTCTAAACAAGTACACTTATTAGGCAGAATGTATCAGCTGAGCTCCAGCTAAACTGGCCTGGAATTTAAGAGCCTACATCAAAAACAGAAGGGAGAGAAAGCAAAGAGGAAAGTTATAGCTGTGGATGTTCAGGAAGTGCACTCATTGTCACACCCATCCCTGTAGTTCCTTCTTTAAGAGTTCCTTCTTAGACACAGCAGCCAGATGAGCAAGTGAGGTCTGTTATATGCAGCTCTATAGTTAGGACATGCTACTACGTGATTCTTTTTCTTTTCTTTCTTTCTTTTTTTTGGGATAAGAAAATACGACTACAAAAAACAAAAACAAACAAACAAACAGAACCCAAACAAATTGTTCTTGGAAAAGTGTTACGTGAGCTGTAATTTATACTGTTATTCATTTTTGATGGTATAATTATCATGAGAAATAGCATAAAGTTGACTTTTATAGTATAGACTTTTCAGATTGTTAGAGCCAAAGGAAACACGTTCATATATGACATATGTTCATATGTATGACAGATACAGCTATGTTATTGTGTAAATACCAAAAGAGGCCGTCTGATATCAGCATGGCTGCACAGCAGCAAGACAAGGAAAGAAAGAGAAAGATGGCACCTTTTATTCCTTATGAATTTCAGCACTCGATACCAAAATTAGACCTCTGTGCTAACCCGAAGCAGGCTTTAAGTGCTGGACAAGTCAGCTGATGGTTGTCTTGGGCAAGAAATGGCGCTCTGCATCATCTATCCGGCTTGTAGTTGGTATCTTGCAAACGTTAGCAGGCAGTCTAGCGAGACAACGTATCCACGGCCAGCGCGCACTGCCGGGATGTGGCGTGCCGGGCGCTGCGGCTGCTGGCTCGCTACGATCCGCCCGGCACACCGCAAGCTACAGACGGGAAAACCATCGACAGAACAACAAGCGGCCCGCGGCTGATGAACGCGTTTATTACGCAACTTAGCGGACACCAGAAATCCACTTCACGTCTTTCCCTCCTTCAAGGAGCACCATTCGGAACCAGCCGTGTCTCAGCAGCGGGCGGAACCCAGCCGCGCACCGCCCGCCCCCGCAGCGAGGGGGGCGCGCAGCTCCCGGCCCGCAGCGCCGCACGCCGAGCCGCCCCTCCTCCGCCCCCGCACGGCCCCGACCCCGCAGGCCGCCCCGGCAGGTTAATCCCCTCCGGCCCCTCCCACGGGCCTATAAAATGCCCTCCCCCCACCTTACCGTGAAGGGGATGTCCTCGACGCTGCCCACCGAATAGCAGTTGTCCCCGGGGTTGACGGCGCCGGTGAGCACCTGGTGGAGATGCATCGCGGCCGCTCGCCCGGGGACGACGAAACGAGACCCGGATGGCGCCGCGCTCCCGCACGGGCCCGAGCCCGAGCCCTGCCCGCCGCCAGCGCGCGCGCGCGAGGGAGTCGGGAAAGACGGGGAGGGCGGGGGGGGGGAAGAAGAGGCGGCGCACGCGCCGGGCAGCGCCTGAATCAGGTGAGGCGCGCGCAGGAGCACGAGCGGCAGCCGTTGGGGCGGCCCTCGTGCGCGCGCCTGCGGGCAGATGGATCGGACTGGGCGGGGGGGGGGGGAGAGGCGCGCGCACCGTCGCGCGGGGCACCTGAATGCAGAGCGTTGGGGGTGGGAGCGGAGAGCGCGGGGTGTGGCGGGAGGGTGAGAATGCAAAGAGCGCCTCGTGGGGGGCGGGAGGGAAAGAAAGCGGGGCTGCTCTGCTCTGCACAGAGCCGCCTCGGCAGCGGGAGGTGCGAGGGAAACTCCTCGCCCCGTCTGTGAGCCAAAAGGGCCGCTTTGTGCTAGCGAGAAGCGGATGTTCCCGACTCGCAAACGTCCACTTGTGGTGAGAGCGCTGCTTGATACTGTAACAACTACACGAGGTGTGCGGGCAGCCGCTTTGCTTCGTAAACGTAGTTGCAACCTCGCTATAAGAACACCGCGAGGCTTTGGCGGCTGCGTTTGTGAGAGCTGGAAGCTGGCGGTCAGCGAGCTCGTCTGACAGGTGTGCAAAAGGCTGAGCGTTGGTTGGGAGGGGCTCCAAACTCTGACGGGAATAAAAGTAATCCGTATGCGCTGCCTCGTCGTGTGAGGAACGGCCTGCATTGCTCGGCACACTGTCGGTGCGGTTCCGCTGCAGTTGTGCTGGTGGTGACCGCAGGCACTGAGCTCTGAGCTGATGGCGGTTTTGCCTCAGCGAGGACTGCCTGGTTCATCTTGCCTTCTAGTGCATCTTGAAATCGCGTCTTTTGCTGAGTAAGTGAGCTTGTGTAGAATGCAGGGGTAACGGGTGCTCAGGTGCTGCAACAGTAGGGGGTGGAGTCGCCATCCCTGGAGGTGTTCGTTATGTGTCTAGATGTTGTACTGAGGGATGTGGTTTAGTGAAGAAATACTGTTGTTAGGGGGACTAGATGGGCTTGGAGGTCTTTTCCAACCATGGTGATTCTCTGATTCTATCAGGTTATCTTTCAGTGGAAAATAAGCATAAGATTAGATCTATTCCCATGCCAGTTAATGGCAATCCCTTTCCAAAGGGAGTGGTGCCTCAATCTGGGATGAGAAGGAAAGAAAGCCATTCTGATCTTCACAGGTTACATATGCAACTGCTATGGAATGCTTCCACAGTGCTTCTGATTGATCTTCTACATAAAACGTGTACTAACTTACCACTGATTTTTATTTGGATATTTCAGATGAATGCAGCAGGACTTAGTGGCAAAACCAGTGTATTTTTGGAAACTGATGGAACGCAATCCAACCAGTAGTGGAAAAAATGTGTAGCTTTTGAACAGATAAGGCTACCTCTGCTAACTGATATTAAATTGTATGGGAGAACAGTATGATCTTAAAGAAAGCTTGTCCTCTCCTGTGTGTAGGAACCCCATCTGATTTTTTTGGCATAGAGTCTTAAGTGAAAGCACAGTGCCTGCAGGATCACCTCAGTCTTCCTAGGTGAGAAGCTTTGGTTTTCAGCCCAGTCTTCTGCTGACCTCACAATTGGTGAGAGCTTTGGTTTACAGCCCAGTCTTCTGCTATCAGATCAGTCTAACAGTACAAGTAACTTTTGGCCAACTGTGAGAAAGACTTCTATCTTGCTTGTTGAGAAACTTTTTAGTGTTTGACTTACGTGGTTCTCTAATTCCAGTGGGACTTTGTTCTCTGAATGTTAAAGATTCCTCTTCAAAGTGGAAATAATACCAAATTAAGGCTTTCCTAATAAAATACTATATTTACAATTGTGGAAACCTATAGGTATGGTCAGCTCTGTGCACAGACCCTTGAGCAAGAACTGTTCTGCTAGTACCTGCAGATAAGGCCTTTGCATTCTTCCTGAAAACAAGTGTTTTTGAGTTTTGCTGACAAATCAAGTTTTATTTACCTTTGTTGATTCATCCTCATTCATGACTTACATCCATCATGTTGGAGTACTTCCCAATGCATATAGCAGCGATCTCTATGCTCAGGAGCGTAAAGCAGTCTTTTCCATTCCCTCCTACTCCTTCCCATTGAAAAATAAAAATATATTAAAAAAAAAAAAAGAATAGAGAGGATTTTTTTTTTCTTTTTTCTTTTCTTCTACCTAGCTTGTTGCCTTGTTCAATTACTTTTTACTAAGGTTACAGAGAAAGGTGTCTGCAATACTTGTGCTGTAAGCTGCTTACCCAGGAGTTCCCTGTTTTGTCTGAAATCTATTGGAGCTGCAGGAGGGGAGGCCGTATTACTGCAGGAGAGTAGAAGTGTACCAAAAGTCCATTTAATACCTGCTAATACTCCTCAGTCGGAGCAGCATCTTAGGTGGAGATCAAAGCATGTATTAGAAATGTGGAGGGTAATTTAGCTCCTGGTTACATCTAGCAAGATGGATTAGATGACCTCTCAAGACTCTGTCTGCATAGTATCTGAGGATGACTGTGTATTTGTTTTCTGCTTTTCCAAACTACACAGGAAAAATAAAAGTCTAGGTATTCAAATGTTGGCATTTTCAACTTCCTTTCTGCTTTTCCAAAAAGTGAGAGGGAGGTGAATGAAAGATCCAATTTTAGAAAACAGGAACAGAACTGCACAGATGCTGTGGAGAAATAACTTCTTTCCATTTGTTGTAGGAAGGGATATTTTCACTTAGCAAAAGAAGATGGTATATAAATAATCAGAAGGATATATGTTTAGATAAAGAAACCATAGTTATTTAAAAAACAGAACAGAACTAAGTAAACCAAACCAACAGAAAGCTTTTCTTCTGGGTTTGCTCACTGTGCGTAGTGGTAGAATGAGAATAATCCCACCTTTCTGCAAAAGGTGATGTGTTTTACAGGAAGGTTAAAAGCGGTTCAAAAGGCTACTGTGGAATTTGTGCAGGAAGAAATCCTAAAGGGCATGTGAAAGGAATGTGCTAAGCACAGCCCAGGGAGAAAAAAAACAAGTATGTGAAGAGATTATGCAAGGTAAATAGCTCAGCTGGATTGCCTTTATTTCAAAGGTGAAATGCTGCATGATAGCCTTGGTATCTTTAAATGTGAAGAACACACCCTATTTGCACTACTCTGTCAGTTTTCTGTGCTGCTGAAGGCCTGTTCAGAACAGAAGAACATTTCAGCACTGTGTTTTTATGATTCTGTGAATGTTTTCATTATGATTTGTGATGACCGCCTCAAACCTTCACAGTGCTCTTGAAAAAATGGTCTTTTTCCCTGAAGAAAAACTACTTGTCTGTTTTTCCTCTCGAACTAAAATTCATCTGTTAACTTCACTTGGAGAAAATCATGCACTTCAACCCACAATATGTAACGCTTGCTATTAATTTCTAAACTGGAATGTGTTTCTGTTGCTGCATCATTGTTATTACTGATAGAACAAGATTGCCTCCTCAAGTATCTTTATTTGTGAAGTGTTGCTCACTGTGTGTTTTTGTTGAAGACATAAATCCACGAAAGATGGTCACTTTAATACTCCTGAAAACACCCAGTTACAGCACAGTCGTTTACTTGGTTACTTTTAAAAGATTATATTTCAGAAAATGAAAAGCCTTCCTCCAGGGTACAGAAATGTCAAATGCTTTCTGCAGTGGATGAGTGTCTAAATGTGTCCCCCAGTGTGGGCCATTTCTTTCCTGTATTCACCAACACTTTCATTTTAAAGAATGAAACTGAATGAAATAAAAATTAGCTGCACAAAAAATTGAAATTTTTCAGGAATTCTTTAAACCACAACAAGAAACTTGTGGAGGGAAAGAACTGGTGATTAAAAAGAGGCTTTGAGGTACTTATTTAAAGGTGCTGACTTGTTCCATGTCAAAGGCAGGTGATCTCTAGGAGTTCTCTCCCTTAATACCCTCCAGAAGGTTCAAGGCTTGTCTTCCCAGTGTATCTAATCATGATGCCAGCTCCAGATATGTGGAATTTTGGAGGACAGTTGGATGGCATTCGTTGAGTTTATTTTTCTGTTGTAAATATGTAAATGCTAAGAAAACAGAGACAGTGTTAATCTGAAATAGTCTGAGCAGTGATATGCAGCTTGACATTGTACATTAATGATATGAGATTAACTTGTCCCATTGGTTGAGTTTGTTCTTTGTGCTCTCTCCTAAATGCTTCTGCAATAGAGGAATTTAGACGAATTTTTAGTGGATGTTTGGAATCATTTCCTGTGAGTCTAAGTATTAATGTACAGTAGGAGGAACTGTTTTAATGTAAATATTTTTCACCAGATGGCAGAATGATGCTTTGTAGTTTTACTTTTCTGTGTATTTCTTCAAATTTGGTGTTTGTTGTCACTAATATATCCTAACTTTACAAGAAAACTGTTATTTATCCAATAAGAATGAGATTCTATAAGGGATTAAATTTTTTCCTATTTTGATTTGATTTCTTCTTGGTACCCTTCTTGAATTTTGCCAATGCTTATCTATGGTTTTTAAAGTAACATAAAATCTACGATTTTCTTGCAGTGTCATTCTGCCTAGTTCATTTTCTACATGTATCTGAATGTATCTTAAAACAACAGATTCTTAGGACTCAATGGCTTTTGGTAAGACCATGAGCCTACTATAGTTTTATCTACATTTCAAATTATTGTGATGCAAGTTTTTAAGCTGCAAGCAGAAACAACCAAGCTCTTAACCTTATAGTTCTTGCTTTGAACTGCAGATGAATATAAAATCTGAAATTATTTACATATTTAGCTGTTGAAAGCCATTATGAACATCTTCTGTGCTTT